GCCCCAGGCCACCGGTGCAGCCGCTGGCCCGCCTGCAGGCTGGAGCCACAGCTCCCCGAGTGCGCTCGGAGTCGCTGCGGGAGTCACCTGGCAGCCGGGTGTTGATTACGTGTCCCTGGCGAGGCCGCTGGCAGGAAAAGGCCTTGTGGAAACAGGCATGGGGGTGGCCCGGCCGGGCAAGGCCGGGAGGGCAGAAGAGGTCACACGTGGCCCGGCCTGTGTCTCTCCAGCAGGATCTGATTGAAGCCAGTAACACTGTCGGGCGAGGGTCCGGGGCAGGTGTCAGCATAGCGCAGCGGGGACTTTCTGCAGTGAAACCTGATGGAGCCCTGGGAGAGAGACGCAGCTTAGCCCCAGCTCCCGGGAGGCTGAAGGGACCTCTCGGGAGTGAGGCTGGGAGTGCAGGGAGGTGGGGACACCCGAGGACATCAAAGCAGAGGCAGGACTGACTGAGTGTGCTTTTTCTCCTTACTTTAAAACAGTAGCAAAGCCCCAAACAGTATTAAAGACAGTGTCACATCCACTCAGCGGGAGATGGATGAGGAAATGCTAGGAGGGAGCTCTCCCCTGCTAAGAATATCACCTGTCCCAGTCTTAGGACTGCTTAAAGCTGGAAGATCAAAGAGCTGCACTTCTGTTTACGCTCTGGCGGGCCTGTGTGTTGTCATGGCGATTTTATCAAGATTATGTCCTATAGGAATTCCTCTGGTAGGAAATGCAGCATTTCCTTCCTTCTGCCTTGTGTCACTTGATCCTTGTAAAAGGCGGGTATCAGCTCTTGTCTGTGCTCGCTGCCTCTTTCCCTGGCGGCTGCCCACGATATAAAATCTTGGACCACTGACTCACATGCTTGTCAGGAATAGGATAAACCAAAGAATACAAGTGAGGGGAGAGTGTGTGTTAGTCTCGCTCAGTCGTGTCCGGCTCTTTGCCACCCCATGGACTGTAGCCTGCCAGGCTCCTCTGTCCCTGGGATTTTCTAGGCAAGAATAGTGGAGTGGGGTGCCATTTCCTCCTCCAGGGGATCCCAACCCAGGGAATGAGCCTGGGTTTCCTGTATTGCAGGGGATTCTTTACCGTCAGAGCTGCCAGGGAAGCCCAAGTAGGGGGAAGCGTGGTGCTAAATCCAGCGCCATTGGAGGGGAAAAAGCTGCTGTTACCACGACCAATTTTTTTGGAAGTAGGACTAAATTAAAGATGACTCAGAAGAGATGCTAGAACACTTAGAGGCAGCTTTTTAAAAGTGAAAGGGCTTTGGAAAACCCTAATTGTAATGATGGGAAGGACCCGACTGCCACCAGCTGGGATGCGCAGGGGTTTGGAGGCCTTCATCTCAGCCGCAGTCCTGCTCCTGCTGCGACCCCCGGGCTCTGCCCCCCACCCCGCAGTGGGGCGGTCAGGATGCCACCCCCATCGCATGGCCCACCTGAGGCAGTGCTCGGATGGACAGGACTCCGGCTTGTTCTTGGGCCGTCTGGACAGCGCAGCTCCTGGGGCTGCCCACAGGGAGCTGGAGGCAGGCGAAGACCACCAGCTTCCTCTGAAAGCCATGCACGCCCACCGCCGCGTTGGCCAGGGCCAGTCCCAGGGGCCAGAGCCGGGTTATTGCGCCCTGGAGCCTGGTCTGAGCCGGGGGCAGTGGGCTGGAGCTCGGGGAGCAGGAAGTTTGAGATGAGTGTTTTTCTTCCACACCATCCAGTTCTTCAGAAGCAAGGAAGGCCATTCTGATCTTAAAAAAGAACACCACATCACAGCTTTCTCTTGATGGAAAACAGAACCCAAAAGTCTCTTCAGTGATTCGCCCTGAACAAGGTGAGCTGAAGGGCGCCTGGCTGGATGCGGCACAAGCCTGTACCCAGGGCGACTATGCTAAGGCTGCACATACTTTTAAAAAATAACAGCCTTTGGGGTGTGCTCAGAGCAGGGGGCCTGAAGAAATGGCTTGTCTGTTTGTAACAGGAACCTGGGTTCACTCTGACGAGGGGCACAAAACGTGTGGCCTTCCTGTGAGCAGAAACCCGACTCGCGTCCCCTGCACCTCCACGTGGCCGCTGGGCAGGGCCAGTGCTGGAAGGAAAGCCGCAGCGTGTGGTGGGGGAGCTTGCCCCCGGAGCCTGTCCGGTCCACGCCTGGGTGGGCCAGGAGTGGTCTCATAAACGGCCTGAACTTCTCATTTCAAGGAGAAAGAAAAAGATTCCAACTGTATGCCATTCTGCAAAAGGCAAAACTCTGGAGACAGTAAAAAGATGAGTGGTCGTCAGGAGTTTGCAGAGGCATGTACAGAGCACAGACGTTTTCATGAGCAGTGAAAGTACTCTGAGCGACATTATAATGATGGATCTGTGTGGTCATACTTTTGTCCAAACCCACAGAATACGCAACACTGCTCTGCTCATTAAAGGGAACCCTAAGGTCAACTGGGGATGTTTTGATTATGTGTCAATGCAGTCATCCTTGGTCTAAAAAGAAAAAAGAGGTACTGTTCTGTTGATAATGGCTGTTCATGTGAGGGGAGGGAGAATATGGGGAATTTCTGTATGTTCCTGTCAAGTTTTATTGTAAACCTAAAACTGCTTTAAAAAAAAGATCTCCAAAAAAAATTTAACACTTAGGGTAGACATTTTTGGCAAAACTTGTTTCACTTTTATGTATGTATACATATTATATATGTGTGTGTGTTTGTTGGATTGTGATATAAAATGTATTTTTTTTAGATCAAAGAAGCCTGCAGGCCATTGTGGCTAATTATACTGGCAAATAAAAGCACAAATTAACCTCAAAAAAAAAATCTGCCTTATTGAGATCTAACTGATACACTGTAAAATCTGTGCTTTTAAAGCGCTCAGCTGTATGAGTTCTGGTGTGTTCCCAGGGTGGCTCGGGCCCCTCTGTGTCACAGCCGTCCTGCTGTGTGGTTGGCACGGGGCCCACATCACTCGCGAGGCCGCCCGCCCCGTAGGAAGGGCCAGCCCCCGGCCTGCTCTGACCTCCAGCTCGGCACTCACCCTCCACTCCCGCCACGCACGCTTGATGACCGTGGCAGCCGCGTGCAGCCGCTGGACGTGCTTCCGAGTCAGCCAGGAGCGGACGGCTGAGGGGTTTGTTCAGAAACAGGAGACAAGAGTGACATGCTGGTTAGAGCTCTTGGTAAACCAGGCTACGCCAACGCCAGAACTGCTGTAAACACGGGAATGAATGGTGGCACCCACGGGAGGTCAGGGGCTGAGCGAGCGTGACGCGGACTTGGCTCTGAAAAACAGCGCTCAGACCTGGAGGCAGGTGCCTACAGCCAAGGGGAGGCTGCCACCTCCCACCCTGGGCAACGCCCAGGGAACACGAGGG